AGAGGTTCGTTAAAGGAAGATTTTATTATGTCAAATCGAGAAATACATTATTATCTCTGCCGTCTTATTTAATAAGTCATAAGTTCGTAGTTAGACAACAAAACACAAACCTTCAGAAAATACTCTAGTACAAAACTGACGAGATAACTCTTTCCATAACGTAGAGTTCCAGCATGCATATTCATGGGGAAAAGACTAACAATTTTGCTACCGCTTGATATTGCAAGTGAATGTTGGACTCAGAGCCTTAATTTTACTGCATGTCCTTAGTAAGCGATCATCATGGTCTATATCATGCAGCATGTAAACACATTTAACGATACCACTTTTTGTTTCAAGTCGTTCGGGTGTTGCCTTAATAAGGAGGGTTCCACATGAGGTATTCATGCAATTTATTTGAGTAAGAACTTTGCTATGAGTGGCAGATGATCTGACGGAAATACTTCACTTGGTGGTAGGTTTCTTCTCATTTCTTCCTCCTTATGAAAAGTCTAGCACCGAAATGACTTCAAGGCCATGCCCATTTGATGTCTCAGAGCGAGGCTCGAAAAATATGTAGTCCTGACATAGGCAGAATATACTGTCAAGATTGGTTATTTTTGGCTCTGTTTTCTGAAAATGAAACGAACCAAAATGTTAACATTTTCTAGATACAACAGTAGCTCTATTATGATGTATTATTTAGACATCATTAGAAAAAAGAAAACGTTTTCCTGCATAAAAATGGTGAACATTTCTTTTGTTATATAATTGACAACGTTTCATTTTACCGAAACGTGTTTGTAAACACTCTCAAGAATCAACTTGTCCTCTTCCAAAACTTTAAAGATCTTCTTCGTTGTGACTATTTAAGAAAAGAATCAAAATCACTGGATAGAAATAACACAAATATCTAAGATTTATTTTTATGTGATAAAAAGTTTTAAACATAATCGTTATGCTTTCTTCCCTTGTACAATCTACCCCAAACGTTACATGGTACTACAACTTTGGTTTCTTCTGTTAGACAGGTTATGGACACGGATAATTAATTTTGCCAAGAGTTTAACATCATATAGAGACAAACACTTTCTGTGACAATCAACACTTTTTATCTCTTTCGCTTAGTCTTGCAGTTTGACATGTATTTGAGAAACTTTATCCCTTAATGTTAGCTGCAAAACGGGGGCCTCAGCGTTTTAAAAACACATCTTGTTTTTATAAAGATACAACCACTACGTTAATTTTCATGCAGAGAATTAATGCAAAGTCTGGTTTCTTCGCTGCCTTCTTTGTCAAGAAATTGCATTAATATATACATGCAAACTATCTCACCGATATATTCATTTGACTTTGGAGCAATTTCATACTAGCCTCCTCCTGGGAACCACTAACGATCAGCTCGTAAGCTGGGTCTTTAGGTTCACTGTTGAAATCTCCGCAAACAATTGTACCAACACTTCCGCTATGTCGTTCTCTAAATTCCCGCAGAGTCACTAAACTACATAAGGACTAAAACAAAAATTCACTTTCAAATATATCCGAGATAGGATTTCTTATAAAAATATACACTTTTGGTATTGAAAACAATCAACTTAAAAGAGCTTATTAATCAAAACTCAAATTGAACATATTAAAAATATATATACAAATTTAACCCCTGTCGACCAATCTCAACCGTCGTGTGCTCACGATCGCGAGAAATAAAGGAAAATGCGTCGGCAATTCAGTGTGTAAATTATGACAATCAGTATGAAAAATGTTAGTCAGTATTTGACTCAATGATAAATTGTAATTGCTGACAATGCCATGGTTTCGACCTTAGAACTTACAAAATAATGGTTTTAAATGAATCTTCTGATATACCTGTTTCATCAACTTGTTTGTCAATATATTGCCTCCTTTTAGAAATTGTTAATACGTTCATGCTCTTTTGTATACAATCAACTGATATATATAAAAGCCGTATGCAGGTAATTAATGTGTATTTATGCATTAACAAGGGAAGTTGACGATTGAAAATTAAAGTCATTACATTTTTCATAAATCTTCAATGGTTGTTAGATCTTCATAATAGTCTTTTTCTAGTATTATATCTAAATATGAAACAGATCTGTCCGACTATGCGGTATCTTTTATCTAACTTCACCTAGGTATCGTATCGGCACAATAATGGAAATAACCTTCAGTTAATTGACATCGACATATCTATAGATGTGTATGTCAAGTTTTATGGTAGGATTCTTCTCATATTTCTTATATTTAAAAATTAATGAAATTTTCACAGAATCAAGAAGACAATATGTGTAAGTGATAGTATCAGTGAAATTAAGTTTGACCGTTTTATATTTGGGGCAAGGTCAGGTCAAGGTCATTATCTTTTTCCTTGACATTAAGAATACAAAAATACTGTTGCCAATCATGTGATACCCACTTACTTATTTTGAATAAGCCTTAACAAGATTACACGAATACACGCCAAAATTACCTTTCTTTGCCTTGTTGCTATGGAGAACCTGCCGTTGCTATGGAGATAAAGAATTTTTTAATATTCAATAATGTGCCTTATCTACAATTTAATTTAATTTTAAAATTTTATCTCATTTATCAAAATAACCGTTCATTCGAATTTTCCGTAAACTTTTTATATTGTTTCTCATTTTATGCATCAAAATCATCATTTTTGTTGCTAGGCAACAGATTTTCGATTTTCAAAAGAGCCCATGGATTTTTCAAATTCTAAAGAGAAATACCTCTGCTTTAATGTGAAGGTACATGCAACAACTGTATTAATCTGGCCATTTTTAAAATTTGGCCTTGTTATTGCCAAAATCAGAAAAATGCTAATCAGCAAAACTTGTAAAACATTGACCTTCAAATGTCAATTGAATAAAAGACAATTATTTTTTATTACATTATTAGAACACAATAAATGTGTATCTTTGTTACCTTTTCTACAATCCCATAAGTAAGAATAATTCTATGGTATTTACTAATGCCTCAAAGATAGGTGATTTTTTGTCCTTCAACATGAAAAATAGGCTAAGGAAATTTCTTTGGCCTTTCCATGGTTACCATGACTCAAAACATTTTTCATTTTACATACATTGTTCATACTTCAAAATAAATCTATGAGTGGACAATCATCAAATTCTGTAAACCTTCATGTATCACTTTTTTACAGTTTTGTCTGATTTTTATGTGGACTGGTACTTAAGAGTAAAAATTTGGACTTGATATTTAGCACAGTTCTGTTCAGTTACTCTCCCACCACATTTGGCAAAGTTCACTATAAATATTGACTTGTATCTTCTTACCAATGGAAAAAAACTCGGTGTGTTTGTGTTATAGAAACTTATTTTTTTTTACCTCTATTGAAGTTTAGATAATAAAAGTTTAGATGTACACAGTATAGAATAATAACACAATATTTACATTGAGTGTAATCCATTCAGTGTAATCCATTAGATATCACCGATGTTCAAATCTTTATAACATGCGAAACATTGTCACCACACAATTTAGAATCTACACTACCCCAGGATACTTCCACATAAGTTTCAGCTTTTCTGGCCAAGCGGTTCTTGATAAGAAAATTTTTTAATGACCCCACCCTATTTTTTGTCTTTTCTTGATTATCTCTCCTTGTGAGGGAACTTGGCTCTTCATTTTAACAATTTAAATTTCCCTTCACCCAAGAATAATTTGTATCAAGTTTGGTCAAAATTGGCCCAGTAGTTCTTGAGAAGAATTCGAAAATGTGAAAAGTTTACAGACGGACGGACAGCTAGACAGACGGACGGACGACGGACAAAATGTGATCAGAAAAGCTAACTTGAGCCTTCGGCTCACGTGAGCTAAAAAGTCTTCAAAATAACGAGACCTTTCAATCGAAATCAAGAAAAAGGGGCTGGCTTCTCAAATTAGGGGCTCAGAGGGACCAAAAATCTTTTTTCTCTTTAACGATCAATATTTTGTTATACATTACTGAAGCAAACGTATTCATCTTAACGATTTGCAACAAGAAAGTATAAAATTTTGTTCATACGTTGATTTGGGGTCTCAAGGGGCTAAAATGCGAAATTTTTGACACATTATATCTCGAAAAGAGGGAATATTTTGATAAAAAATATTGAGTGGAAGAAAGTCAGAATAATGTTCCAAACAATATGCACCGTTTGAATTCTTGACAAATGGCCCCATTAAGGACTTGTAGGGCTGGCACCTAAATATTTCCATTCAGCATATCTCCACAACGAAAAGAAATCTCTGAATAGGTGTAGAACAAAATGTCTTTAAAATCACAAGACCTTTCATTAAATATCAAATAAAAGGGGCTGACTCCTCATATTAGGGGATCAGAAGGGCCAAACGTCTTTCATCTTTAACTCTTTAACAATCACGTTATTCTTGTTAGTTTCATTTAACCAGACGCTCGACTGTCTCCGTAAATTCCGAACAGCAGAGATTCTGGTAAAGAGTCACTTTAGCGTTTGGTACCGTAAGAGGGCGCTATTTTTTTATTTTATTTTATTTTTTTTTTTACATTTTTATGACCTATTTTCGAAAAGAATATGTAAAATGTTTCTTCTGTTAGACTGTGAGTTTATATTAATAAACTGTTTTATAATTTTGAACATTAAAACGAGTCATTACATGTACAACATCAATCGAAGAAATATGTATTCCGCAGGTAGCTACACTACTTTCACTTTAGCTAACAGAAATAAAAAAAATGCAAGACAAATGATAAAACCCACTAACCTATAACCTGTTGACATTACCGTAAACAATAAGATAATTCCTCTTTATCTGCTTGAACTTTTAGACATGAAACTTTTAAAACATTTACGTTATTTTTCTGTCGATTTACCATGTATTTGTTTAAATTGTGTAGGTGTGTTCTTTACAGCCAATCAAAAACTTTACCAGAATTTTGGTAAGCCTCGTTTTTGGCGTTACAAACGATATCTTTACTTCTCTTGCTCAACCAGACACTCGGCTGTCTCTGTTAATCTCCGACCACCCGGAGAGTCTGGTAAATATACGTTTTTTTCCAAAATTATAAATCAGTTTATTATTTATTAACATGTTATAGTTAATATTCGTTTTAAAAAAGAGGTCAGCAAAATGTAAACAAGATAGCGCCCTCTGACGGTAACAGACACTAATGTGACTCTTTACCAGAGTCTCTGCTGGTCGGAGTTTACGGAGGCAGCCGAGCGTCTAGTTGAATGAGACTAGTATCTTTACCAGACTCTCTGGATAGTCGGAGATTTACGGAGACAGCCGAGTATCTGAGACTACATTTTTGTTTACTTGGGCGAAAGAACTGTTTGCTGTTTACTGCTTTTACACAGAAGATCGGTCTAGAGCACTGCTTTTATTGAATCTTCGAAGGAAAGGGATATGTTACATTGAGCTTTAACAGGTATCAATCATTGTAAGTATATCATATGACGTTTTGATCTTATTATTCTTGGCTATCTTTGTGTATTTTCATTCGAGACATTTTGAAAGATGCGTCAATAAGGAGACCAAACAGAATGGAAGTTTTAAAAGGAATGTCACTTGTAGTGACTCTTTTTACAGAGAAATTTTACAATGATTACGAGTAAATTCGTCAATACACCAACATGGCTTTGTTTTGATTACAACAGAAATGTTATTGTCACACCCTGAGCTAGACAAGTATTAAGAAAATGAATATTTCATAACTTGGGAACGAGAGATTGTAGTGTTTGCGGTGCACTTTAATAATAATAGTTCAAAATACCAACACGTTTACTTTTTCCTTATTATTATAGCATCTCTTGAATATTGAAAAACTGTATTTAAAAAATTGGACAAAGACATAACCAAGTGCACAGAATTTTGTCAAACTCAGATATTTAGTACACAATGTGTAGATGTGCATATTACCGGGAAATTCCGATTCCTTTATTTTTTCCGGGAATTTTAGCGCTTCTAGTTTTGGGGGAGCGTGGACATTGTGAGATTGTTCACTTTTTCCTTTATTAGACAGTGATTTCTGTATCAAAATGTAAATTTAATTTCTTTTCGTTAGCACTAGTGAACTTTTTTTATGTGAAGAGTGTTCGAAACGTTTTCTCTTTTGCGTGTTATTAAGATATGCGCTTTAATATGTAGTTAAAATGTCTTGGGTATTTAACAGTTGTTTGCTTGTTCTATTTATTCGAGTTCATACTCAGCTAGAAAATATAATATTTGAAGAAAACTAGCAACATTCTTTTTTAAAGTTTCTGTTATTTTGATATTATATTTTCAAACGTTGTAGAATGGCTATTTTTCACGAAGTCGATAAGTGCTGTCCTTGATCTGCGAGTTATATTATCATCAAAAGATGATATTAATTTCAAAATTATATATTACTAGTCGAATTAATTGATACCCTAAGAATTGTACATTGGATTTTAAATATAAATTAAGATTTCTCAATCGAAATCTGCTGCAGAATTCTTTGTTATTGTATATAAAATAAAAAATTGTAAATCATGAAATGAAGAAAAAAAAAAGAGAAATATGTTTTGTAGTGCTGAGAATGTCACTCAAAGCTAATAGATGCTTTGTTACTTTGAATTTAATTTTTCTTTATTGATTTGGGGACAGCATGCACGTAATGATCTACTTAACTATCACGTTGATAATCAAGTATACTTAAAATAAGTACTTATGCTATATTGTAAACATGATACATATACAAACTGATTTCTTGGTCGGACGGAAGGTCCTCTTTTTAAATTTTGTTCTCTTCTGTGTAACTGGCCTAATTATTTCCAGTAAGTGTGCATTGCAAGCGGATGCAGTGCATGCCACTTACTCATGTGCACTTATTAAGTTTTAATTGTTTTAAAGCGAGAGATATTAAATCTCATTCGTCTCTCCGTCAATCTGTCAGTTTGTCCGTACGTCACAAAAAAATTAACCTAACCCGTAACTTTAGATTCAGTGGAGCTATGATTTTCATATTTCACATGTGTATTTCTTGTGACAAGACCTTTCTTTGGGTACCATTAAATTTGGCCTTATGACCTTGACCCTGGTTTGACACCCTTTTACACGAAAATTTCCAACGTTTTACTTTGGCCATAACTGTTATCGGTATACACTAGGAGGACTATCATATTTCATATATATATATATATATATATATATATATATATATATATATATATATATATATATATATATATATATATATATATATATATACAACAACTCTTAAACTAATATAACTGCTTTGTGATATATTAATTAGTGGCAAGGAAATTCACTTTTATTGGATACCAACAACAACTTTGGCCTTTTCACCTTGAGCTTGGCGATTTTGATACTTCTAAAAAGCTTAAACCTCAACTATAGCATTTGAACAGTAAGGGCTAGGTCTTCATATTTTATATATGTAGTTCTCAACATTGTGAGAAGACCTTTCATTGGATACCAAGAACTTTTACCTTGACCTACTTTTAAAAATCATACCTTGACCAAAATCTTTGAAAGGCCATGCCTTTTAAATGGTAAATTTGGACATTAGTTTTTAGATTTTACATGTTTAATATATTTATGCACAAATTCTTTGTGGCAAGATCTATTATATAGATACCAACAAATTGACTTTTTGATGACCTTGACCATGGAGATTTCTGTACTTTTGAAAAAACAGTAACCTTGTATCCATAACTCTTGAATGGGTAGGGCTACAACGCTGCCCTATACTATATACTAGTATTACTCAATGATGTAATCCTTATGAGAAGATCTTTCGCACGCACAATCGTGAAAAATAGAATGTTACACACAGATACACTGTGACTGATAAAGATGGGGGGAAAACATACATTATCTTCAAGTAAATCAAGTAAAATTTAATGTAAAAACAGAGATTAAAATATAACTTGTACAGACAAACATATTATTATTGTTTCTTTGTGCATATATAATTTCAAAGAAATGGATGTATCCTATCAAGTTTTAAACAGAATAATGAGAACCAAGACGATCTCATTTCCATTCTCAATGACCGTGACTGGTAAGGATGCAAATGAAGCTCTTAACGGTTTTTTACCCCCAAGCCACCAGTTTTTATTTAAATCTAACATTGGGTCTGCACTTTGCTATTTACATGATGCTGGTTTATTTTCCAGCGTTATATTAGTTTAAGAGTTGTTGTAATTTGTGCATTTATGAAAAAATTATTTCTCTACAACGATTGGTAACAATCCTCTAAAAACTAATGTCCAAATAACTGTATCTCATTTCCATTCTCAATATGTATATAGGGCAGCGTTGTGAGAAATTCCATCACGTCGAAAGCAAGTTTTTTAACTTGACATAACGCGGATCATGTTCCTGTACTGCTAGATCAAACGATACTCGAAACGTCGAGTTTAAAAGTGAATTTCTCTGTGCTTTCTATATTAATATTCCTTCACTTAGGGCAGTTATATTAGTTTAAGAGTTGTTGTAATTTGTGCTTTATAAATAAAATTAATTTCAAAACAACATGTATAACAATTTAATGTCCAAATATATCTCATTTCCATTCTCAATGATGTAGTATAGGGCAGCGTTGTGAAATATAGCATGAAATCTTTTTTAACTTGCCTAGATAGCCGAGCGGTCTAACGCGCTGTTCCTGTACTGCTAGGACAGTTTGTAGGTCGAGAGTTGGGCTCGGAAGTGAATCAAAAGTGAATTTCTCTGTGCTTTCTATATTAATATTCCTTCACTTAGGGCAGTTATATTAAGTTGTTGTTTTTGCTTTATAAATAAAATTAATTTCAAAACAACATGTATTGGTAACAATCCTCTAAAAATAATGTCCAAATAACTGATCTCATTTCCATTCTCAATGACCGTTGTTATTGTGACAAAACCAGTTTTTTGTTGCCTATAGCCGAGCGGTCTGCGCTGTTCCTTTACTGCTAGGAGACAGATTCATAGCCTGTGGGCTTGGTACCTCGTAAAAGTGAATTTCTCTGATATTATATTCACTTAGGGCAGTTATATTAGTTTAAGAGTTGTTGTAATTTGTGCTTTATAATAAAATTAATTTCAAAACAACATGTATTGGTAACAATCCTTAAAAACTAATGTCCAAAAACTGTATCTCATTTCCATTCTCAATGACCGTGTAGTATAAGCGTTGTGAACTTCCATCGGCATCGAAAGCAAGTTTTTTAACTTGCCTAATTTGCGCTGTTCCTGTAACAATATGTAGGTCATTAATAGTATCCTCGTAAAAGTGAATTTCTCTGTGCTTTCTATATTAATATTCCTTCACTTAGGGCAGTTATATTAGTTTAAGAGTTGTTGTAATTTGTGCTTTATAAATAAAATTAATTTCAAAACAACATGTATTGGTAACAATTTCTAATGTCCAAATAACTGTTCTCATTTCCATTCTCAATGACCGTGTAGTATTTGTTGTAAATTTGTGTTGAACAAGTTTTTTAAGCAAAATGGATTCAAGCGCTGTTCCTGTACTGCTAATATGATTGAAGTTCAACCCCAGGCTGGGGCGGATAAGTATCCTCGTAAAAGTGAATTTCTCTGTGCTTTCTATATATATATATATATATATATATATATATATTCTTTGTGATATATTCTTTGTGGCAAGGCCTTTTATTGGATACCAACAAATTTGGCCTTTTCACCTTGAGCTTGGCGATTTTGATACTTCTAAAAAGCTTAAACCTCAACCATAGCATTTGAACAGTAAGGGCTATGTCTTTCATATTTTATTTATGTAGTTCTCAACATTGTGGGAAGACCTTTCAGTGGATACCAAGAACTTTTACCTTGACCTACTTTTAAAAATCAAACCTTGACCAAAATCTTTGAAAGGCCATGCCTTTTAAATGGTAAATACTAGGACTTTCATGTTTAATATACGTGTATGCATTCTTTGTGGCAAGATCTCTTATTGGATACCAACAACTATGACTTTTTGATGACCTTGACCATGGAGATTTCTGTACTTTTGAAAAAACAGTAACCTTGTCCATAACTCTTGAATGGTTAGGGCTAGGGATTTCATAGTTTACGTATGTAATCCTTATGAGAAGATCTTTCGCACGCACAATCGTGAAAAATAGAATGTTACACACAGATACACTGTGACTGATAAAGATGGGGGGAAAACATACATTATCTTCAAGTAAATCAAGTAAAATTTAATGTAAAAACAGAGAAAATGATAACTTGTACAGACAAACATGTACATTATGCTTTCTTTGTGCAGATTATAGAAAGAAGAAATGGATGTATCCTATCAAGTTTTAAACAGAATTGGTGAGAACCAAGACGATGGATGCGGACTGGTAAGGATGAAAATGAAGCTCTTAACGGTTTTTTACCCCCAAGCCACCAGTTTTTATTTAAATCTAACATTGGGTCTGCACTTTGCTATTTACATGATGCTGGTTTATTTTCCAGCGTTTTCAGAATCAATCCTCATTTATGAAAAATTGTATTTCTCTACAACGACGAAAATAATGATAAATATGTATCAGGGTCGTATCACGTCGACTTGACATGGGCGGATCATAAGATCAAACGATACTCGAAACGTCGAGTTTAATCTGATGATTCCTGTCTGTCAACGAGACGTGATACGGCTCTTCGGATCAAGTAACCGTTATAATGATAAATTTATTATATACCCCTTTATGACTAGCGAAATATAGCAATGAAATCTTTAGAGATCTTTTCGGTCTAACGGCCTCAAGCGGACAGTTTGGTTCTTGGGTCCAACAAAACGCCTGTTGCCTTCGAACCCTTTCTGAAAGGTGTTTTTTTTCAAGTTTCGGAAATGAAACAAGTCAAAGATTGAAAGATCTGGCGAATATTGTTATTGTGACAAAACCACCTTTCTGTTTATCGCCTCTGTTTAACTTTACTTTCATAGCCTGTGGGCTTGGACGCCGTCATGAAGAAATTTCATGTAGTGAATTCTTATTCTGGTTCCTTCCTCTCATAAATCTTTCGATGTTTTGCAAAAAGGTTGCTTTCGAGACTCCTCCAGAAATTGAGCTTCCTCCCCGAATAAGAATTTGAACAATATGACCATTAATATTATAGAAAATAGCATATAAAGCTGTTTTTGTGTTTTTGCAATTCCTTGCTTTTTCAGGCCTTTTCTGTTTTTTTTCAAGTGCATCTTATTGTAAATTTGTGTTTTGAACGTTTAAAGCAAATTGGATTCAAGTTTCATAATATGTTTGAATTTCAGACAGACATGGATTAGTACAGTTTTTGATCTTTTTTTACATAATTGTTTATATATTCCTTCACGCTGTCGTTTTCACTCATTTTTTTCAAAATATAGGTTGACATTTGAGTATTTACGGAAGCCCAATAGTGCAAACCAAAAATATATAAAGAAAAACGAAATTAATATATAAAGAAAAACGAAATTATTAAATTTACGAAATTAATATATAAAGAAAAACGAAATTATTAAATAAAGAAAAACGAAATTAAAATATAAAGAAAAACGAAATTATTAAATAAAGAAAAACGAAATTAATATATAAAGAAAAACGAAATTATTAAATATATCGAAATTAATATATAAAGAAAAACGAAATTATTAAAAAATAAAAACGAAATTAATATATAAAGTTATCGAAATTTTGTATAAACAAATTATTAAAAAAGTTATTAGATAAAAAGGAGAGTGAGGGAGAAAGAGAAAATATCAACTGAAACAAATCTTCAATCAATGTTTGAAATGTCATGTTTAACGATATACGTAATTTGTTAATGTGTGGCATTATGCATAGATCATTTGCCTGTTTCTAGCTCATTAAAATTAATGACATCCAATAAAAGAGCACTTGAATTTTCAAGACCTTGCGTATCGTATTACTGGATTCCCACGAACTTAACCTAGCGTCCGATCTGTGTACCCATAAATCTTAGATTGTTTAAACTATAAAAAGAAAAATGATTTGATTACTTTGTGGGATTTGTTATTTACAAGAGTGTGCATTGTTTGTTCACAAATATCACCGACTTATAAATACACAAATTGAGAGTTTGTCATTTAAAATATATGAGAACAAGAACTGTAGTACCACTGACTTAAAATAGTACAGATTGAGTTTCCATTTATAAATGTGAGAACAAGTACTACACGCCCATCACCTATTATGCGTTGATAAGACCAAGGAATCAACTGAAGGTTTTGCTTTACTTCTAATATGAAATTAAAATCCAACCTGACTTGTTTTACTTTTTGCATGTTCTGTTTAAACAATTTTTTATTATGTCAAACAAACCCAAGTCCGATTGATAACGTATTATTTTACAGCATTTTCTATATATGTATTGTGCGATAGTTGAATAATGGATAAGGGAAATTCCTTAATGTTAAAAATTCAACAATTACGATTGTAAAAACACATAACGTTCATTTTTCTTAAATAGTTGTGCAATGATATCAAAGGTTCTTCTCCACCATATTGTAATGGATATGTTTTCGATAAAGGTGAATGTAAAGGCATTCGCTTTAACAAAATCAGTGCCAGAAAAAATGACACCTTAAAAATCAATCTTTATTTCAGTTTTTCTACTTTTAATATATCGTTTTTCTTTATATATTAATTTTTTTTCTTTATATATTAATTTTGTTTTTATATTAATTTTTTTATTTAATAATTTACAATATATTGATTTCCAAAGTTTTCTTTATTTAATAATTTCACCATATATTGTTAGAAAATTTCGTGATATATTTTTCGTTTTTCTTTGAATAATTTGATATATTAATTTTGTTTTTCTTTATTTAATAATTTCGTTTGCACTATTGGGCTTCCCTAAATAAACTTTTTTTACTATTTAATGTTTCTTTATACAATGTGAACTACTCCCAAAATGATGCCCATCAAATTCTAAAGTAATTTAACATAATAAGTATTTTTTTTGTTGAATTTTCGCAAATAAACTACTTGTAGTCATTGGTTGTTGTCTAAATTCATATTTGATGCCCATAAAATATTTAATTGAAATCCAGCTCATGTGTGTAACAACAGACATTTGCATAGATCTGTTTAAACTATTTTATGATTCATTTTTAAAGTCAGATAGCCCTTGTTCTCCAGCTTCCCACAAAGATATATGAAAAGTCACATGAACAGTTATCAATTCATCAAAGAATTGAGAGAAAGTCAAGCTCTCTTATGATTAATGGTGATATTTGCTCTAGGCCAGGAATGACTACTCTTAAAATTATCATTCAATTTTTAAAAGTTTTTGAAGTTAGAAATTATAATCCTCTTTTCAACAATTTTCATTTCATGCAACAAAATATGTTTTCAAAATATCTGAAATTTTCCTGGCTTTTTTACGATTTTGATATATTACGTGCAAGGAAAACGTCAGAACCGGCGCCATTACGAAAACTGGGAAATCCCCAACCTACTCCCGGGGGTCATGATTTTAACAGATCTAAACCTACACTACCTGAGGATGATTCCACATGAGTTTCATCTTTCCTGACCCAGTGGTTCTTGAGAAGAAGGTTTTAAAGATTTTCCCTTTATATTCCTATGTAAAACTTTGATCAGCCATTGTGGCCCCACCCTACCCCCATGGGTCATGATTTGTACAAACTAGAATCTACACTAGCTGTGTTTCACGGATCTAGTATGTTATCTTGGATCTCCAGCTATGTAAATTTAACGAATTCCTTATACGGATATAACGAATTACTATTATAGCGAAGTAATTTCATAGGTCCCAGTCACTTCGCTATAACCGAGTTTTACTTATCGTTTTTACGGTTTTTTCATAAAATATACAATCCAATGAAAACATTTTATCAGAATCTCGATATTTGCCTAGCTTCAGTTCTTGCATTGTAAAATCTTGCGCAAGTCCTGTAATGTAATGTGGAGTGACATTTTCTTTTCATAGATATTTGTGGGTACTAGAGTCATTTAGCTGCTGTTAAATACTGATTTTGGCGTTTAGTAAGGTTCGCAAGTATCAAAAATAAACTCCGGTTTGAGACGGCGAAATTTCCACTTCTCGCAATAGCACCGGTTTTGACGTTTCACTGACATATCAAATTCCCAAATTAGCCAGGAAAACGTCAGATATTTCGGACTACAAAATATGATTAAAGGTTCTTTGAAGTCTTGGAAGGCTTTTGTAAAAAATGACATTTGTTTCCTTTAAAAGTACGACATATAACTACCATTTTTGAATTTCCTTTAATCTAGTCTAGGTTACCTATACTTATTAGTATGAAATATGTGATGTCTTGCTTTGATATTATACGATTTTTACACTTTGCATTATTTTATATATTATTTGATGTATATAAAGGATCTAAAAACCGTAAAAGTATTGAAAAACACATACAATTTTAACTGAATGTCTGGATGCATATCGTTCTGTACACCATATTAAACTAGTTAATAAATTTTCAATTAAAAAATGCATATTTGGTGCTTTTATCCACTTTTTCTTGAAATGTATTTAGATACTATAATTTATCTTATGTAATATAAAATTACAATTTTGATTTTTGGGACATTTTTGCGAACATGTTCAATTAATTAACTGATGATTTTCAGAACCTGAGGATATGGTTACCTTAAGAAATGAATTCTGAAATCTAATTTCCAGGTTTTAGCCATTGTACCTTATTTTAAAACATAATTCTATTTTTTTAAAACTCTTTTGTCGATGTATTGTCGGCGTCGACAGTATGTACTCATCAACTCTGCATATATTGTCATCGGGGGTACACATTGTCACCGGCAACAAAATATGCCGAGAAAAGCCTTATTTCCCCTCATGACTTTTAATTTAGAGTTTGACAGTGCATATATTTGTCTTGTACATATTGTCGTTTGAGACAATATGAGCTTCCTTCACTGCACTGTAAACCAACTTTTTTTCGCGTGCGAGAAATTTGCGCGAAGTTCGCGAGAGCCTCGTCATCGCGAATATTTCTCGGTTATTATAGTAATTTTGTCAATTAAAAACATGCAAAGAGGCTTGATCGCGAAAATTCATCGTCGCAAATTAGTTTATCACTGGTAACTCGCAAAATAAAGTGGTCGCCAATAAAAGTTGGTTTACAGTATTCTCGTCCATCAGTAAACATTGTCCTAGGCTGAAAAATTACTCATTTACATACACGTGCATAAACATGCCACTGGCGACATTATGTAACCTATGTTACGGTACATATTTTCGTCGGCGACAATATGTACCAACCCTCACTGCACATATTGTCGACCATAAGTACAAATTGTCGACGTCGTCAATATGTACCTAGACAAACCCTTCTTTCCCTCCTTTAATAGGGACGACAAATTGAACAGTCACCCATCGGCACATTTTGTCGTTTGCGACAATATGTACTGTGAACATTTGCACATTTTGTCGCCGATAGGTTGTGTTGAATATTTAATATTGTTTCAAATTCTCCTTTTCAAGAACTACTGGGTTGGAGGAAATGGTACTTATGTGCACGCTTTATTACATAGTGTACATAAATTTCATTTGTAGGTGCTGGCAAAAAAAGGATTTCAAGTTTCAAGATAACCCTTTGTTCCGAGTATAAGTCTAAATTCGTAGTTCTCAACCGGCAACTGTTGGCGTCTCTGTATGAGTGAAATATTTCTTAGGGAATGTTAAATGAACAAATGGAAAACAAACAAAACACTCAATTTTGTTTAAAACCTTTTTGGGATATAATGGGCAATTTAAGACAATTTTAAGGCTTAGGATAAAAAGCCCTAAACCCGATTATAAAAATGAAAGATGTTTTTCTGATGAATCTGGCACGCGTTTTGATTATGCCCCCCTCTTACCGTATAAACTACTTTAAATATTCAAAATTAATTCGGTATGAGCATTTTAAATAGCAAAATATTGACTTACTTTATGTATTTATTTCTGGATAAGAATATTTAGCTGTGAAAATGCTAAACTTTTACTAGCTTTAGGTTTATGCTCCCCGCCCCTCCCCCCACAGGTCCATCGACCATACACTTACCAGTGTGTCACTCATTTGGGGATTGTATCAAGACAATTTGTCTTTATTTAATTCAACACTATGTTTCCTTGGCCCTACACACGCCCCTAAAATGATAAGGTATCATAACTCATTGACTTGAATTAAAAGGAAAGTGTACATTCGATATTATGTATCTTAATATTAAGAATATTTAACTGATAATTCGCTGGTTAACTGCTCAATTTTAAAACTTTCTTAAATCAATCAATCTATGTAGTTACTTAGTATTTTATATTTTATATATTTTGTCACGAAAAAAAATCATCCGATTGGGTAAGTTTTTGTCTTTATCTGTGTATTTCGATTTACATACTTATCCATTTTCCAGTTTATGCATTGACTATGTTTTTTTGAACTGTATTATTATGCATTTATTTTATGTAAATATTCTAATACAGTTTTATGCATTTGAAGATTGGAAAAAACTCAGTACTGGCGAATTCACAGCAGGAAAACAGAGAACAAATAGGTGGAATCCGAATGAAATATAAAAAGACTTTGCTGGTCACTACGTATACCCTACTAATGGTTCTGTTGGTTGGATTCATTACATTTGCTGTATTATTCGGCACTGAGAAAGACTTTGCTAACGGTAATTTGTTTAGTATCAAGCAATATTATCCTAATCGTATTGAAAAAAACGTACATATGTAGTTATCAAATTAGCTCTTCACCAAATACATATATTCAAATAGGTAGCGGAAGATCAAATGCATCAAATTAGGCGAAATTAGCGAGGTTCGCTTCTTATCTTATCATAAGATTTTTGCTTTGACCACTATTTAAAAAATTCTACATAGTATTTTAGTTCTTACCATTAATTTGGATAATGCTTATTAAACTATATTCAGTTAAAACCCCATGAATAAATTCCATATCGAAAACATTTAGTGACGAACTTTATTTTTGGCGGAAGGAGTGTTTAGGAGAAAAAGATCAATTTTTTCCTCTTTTAAAGTAGTCAATTCTGTTAAGGATTTCTATATGTACATGCAGGCTGCACACAAACAATTTTGTGCAGGTCCTTAATTATATATTGAATTAACTAATATAAAAGCTATCATCAAGTTTAGCAAATGTGTCAAATATGTCATGAAACTCTTTGAAAAAAGGCTTTAGTTAAGCTTAAAATAAGAATTTATGTAGTAAAATCTAAAAATTAACATCACAGACCAACTTTTATTTCATTTTCTAAATAGAAAAGATAGTTTTAACCCTTAGCATAAATTCAGAAAAATATCCATACTTTCAAATGATTTAACTAAGTATTAAGAATATAATTTTAATGTGTGAATGTGCAAGAATGTTAATCAAACCTATCCAAAAATTTAAAGTTTCAAAAGGTTTTAAATGAAGTAAGATTTTTAATTTATTTTCGTGTGAAATGCTATTACAATATATGAGTTGTGATATTAAACAGAAAATATTAACTTCAAATCTGTGTCTATGCACATTTAATTCATTTGAATAAAAATATTAAATAAATACATTGAAAAATTGAATTGTGTGTTAGACATAATTACAGTGAAAAAAGGTCATATAAATTGCTCGATCCGTAGTGCTAAAAGAAACGCACAGACCCCCATTTTTGTTTTGATTTCTTTTTTTTAGGTTCTAAATAGATTCTAAAAATATACGTTATGAAAATAAATTCTAAATACTTTTGATAACAGAAACCAGCCTCCTTATAAATATTGCTTCTTTACCCTTTCCCGACTCAGGATTAAAAAATGGACGGTAGGTAGGTGTGAAATTTTTTGTTTGGAAAACTTCAACATCTATTTTCCGAAATGAATTAAAAATTGTTTTTAATATGGAGGTTATAATGCCTCGGTCGGGAGAAGGCAAACAAATATATATATATATATATTTTAAAAAGATGGCTTTTGCATTTATTATTACATATTGATATTAAATGATTTTAAGACAGTAGATCTATTTCTTCCTTGCGTGGGGATTTTAACAAAAGGTTATTACTTTTCCTTCAGATTTATTGTTTGAATTTTTATAGATTTACAAAGACAAGTGGACTGTATAAAGAAAGATTGGAAATGTTTGAATGGTAAGTCGTAAACACACAGAAAAGTAAAAGGATCCAATCAAAAGGATCTAATGGTAGCATAAATTTTATATCATTATTTCAAGGTTTTTTTTTTAATCTTCCATAATATCAATATTCTACTGAAGCATATTGCTGCCAGTTGATTATATGTTTTGCTGTGTCTTACGTAAAAGATAAGTCGTTCATTATAAAACATATTTCTAGTCATAATAATGTAATATATATATTATTTTTTTATAATATATATAGTACAAAATACTATGTTTTCATTACGATATTAAATGTGATATGTAAAAAACTAGATACAAAATCCTACTTAGTCAGACGTACGACATAATAGAGGGTTTTGGCAAGCTTGTTCGTGTATATGTACGTGTAAATTACAAGCTAGAATTACATGTTTATATTATTTTTATTGTTAAGCAAATGATATCCCATAAGGTACTTGCAATTGTTTTAAATTCAAAAGTGTTCAGCATAGAATTTTGTTTAAAAAACCTGAATCTTAATATGTATATCTTAGTTTGTATAAATATATGCATATATATGCATATACGAGGGTTGATCCAAAAGTAATGTTACTGTGTCAATATCTTATACTGGTATATTATTAAATATAATATACCAAAAGATGCACAAAAATAAACATATTGGACAAGTAGCAAATTTATCGAAGTTGTGGCATTACTTAAGGAATCACTGTCTAGTTTTGAGAGTATGCCAGGGCATCAACAAAAGAGGGCAACATGGGATAATCTGCATAACGGGCAAAGCCCGTTATGATAAAATTATCCCATGTTTCCCACTATTGTTGATGTCCCTGGCATACTCTCATAACTAGACAGTAATTCCTCATATTTCCATTTCATTGTGAAATAAAATTGTAGACATAGACATTAAAAATGTAGACTAATAGATTTAAATTACACGAGGACTTCTATGCCAATTTCAATAGCCGTCGCACACTGACGTCAAACAAAAAGGCAGCCGCACGAGATTTACATGCATATTTGACTTCCTTAGCGTCAGATACAGAGACAGATGCGCACGAGATTTGCATGCGTATTAGGCCTCCTTAGCTGCTGACCTATCGACCTGCCTAATTTACATTCCGGTGTAACGACAAAAATGACCCCCTACCCGTAGAAAAAAAATAATTTTTTGTAGAAAAATTTTTCTTAGGGGACATTATTTTATATGTAAGTCCTATAAAAAATTGACCCCAATTGAAAAATGACCCCCCTTTAAAGTGAAAAGAGCTTCTTTAATAGTCAAATAATAAAATTTCTTTTTAATTTCCCCCTTATAGTGTTTGCTTAAAGAATAATATTCCACTTGTTTTTAGAAATCAAACCATGCAACAATCAGATTCCAATACTCTTTAATAGAAAAAAATAATTTTTTCCTCTTTTCAACTCTTAGCCTGTATAAATTTGGCAAATCCTTTTTCACAATGAAAGAGGAGGAAATTTTTACCCCCCCCCTCCCCCCCAAAAAATTACGTTCAATCAAAACAAAAAAAAAAAAATAAATGAAAAGCAAAAATATAAATAAAACTCTATACCTTTCAATAATACTGAAAGAGGTTCTAGATAAAATATTGAAATGAAGTTAAGCCTTCACACAAGTTCTATCATATCATAATTCGCCATGATTAAAGCATACTTTAAATGTTGATGGTGGTATACTTGAAAGTATTGTGGCAAAGTAACTGTTAAAAATTAGTAGAAAAGTAGATTATTTTAAGCTTATTTTTAGTCCCTCCTTATAGAAAAATAAAGGTAGGGTAGTTTTTTGTTGTTGCTTTTGTTGATAATCAACTTCCTCCTAAATTAGTAAGGGGGCGGGTGGGTATAACACCTAAAAACATGCTCTGTAAAGCTATGGGCTAGTTTAAAATACACATTCTAATGCCAAAAATATGCATGTAGACATATCCTTTTGATTTAGCACACAGTATTCATTACATTTCTTAATTCTTGTTTTACTCCACCCTTTTACCCAGTTCTGAGTATATTTTTCAGAGAATTTAATACGAAAATCAGAACAAACATTTTCATTTTTGTAACGTCTTCTTTATACTGTATCATAATATGAAAAGTTAATTGAAGACCATTTCTTTTTATGTCCCTGTAATCGAAGATTCGGGGGTATATAATTTTATCGTGTCCGTCTGTATGTCTTTCTGTCTATCTGGCGGTCTGTTTCTCCGCAAAAACTTCAACCTTGACCATAACTTTTCATTTATTGTAGCTATGTCTTTCATATTCAATATGTGTATATTCCTTGTGACAAGACCTTACTTTGGGTACCACCAAATTTGACCTTTTGACCTTTACCTTGGAGTTTGTCCCATTTTACAAAAAAATGTCAAATTTTTAATTTACTTTGGCTACAACTTTTAACTGTAGATACTAGTACTCTCATACTTCACAAATGTAATCTTTGTTACATTGAACCTTTCTTAAGAAACCATCAACTTTGACCTTTGGCCTTTGAGTTTGACCTACCTTTCAAACACTTATCCTTAGCCATTAATTTTGAACAAGTGGTGCTAGGGCTTTCTTATTTTTCAGTTGTATTTCTTGTGAGAAGACCCTACTTTGGGTACTATTATATTTATACCCCCCGCTTGAAAAGCGGGAGGGTACATAGTAATCGTTAATTCCGTCCGTCTGTACGTCTATCCGTCCGTTCGTCTGTCTGTCTGTCCGTCCGTCTGTTACGCTTTGGGGTACCCATCTCTTATCCGCAACTCCTCTCATACCACTGAATGAAATTTGATGCAACTTTCACAGAATCTTTATTACATATTGCCATTGTGCACCTCCTATTTTACTTTTTGATCCGACACATATTTTGGGTTTCCCGGCCACAGAAAATCATGGACTTTTTCACCAGTTATAATCATATGGGAGGCGGGGGGTATCATTTAGTGAGCTCATCGCTCACAGTACTTCTAGTTAAATTGCATTTTAAAAAGTTTTATCTTCGCTATGTTGCCATAAAGGGGCAAAGCTGTTTCACAAAAAAAATTATATATAAGAGGAGTTGCGGATAACAGGTGGATACCCCCAAGCGTAACAGACGGACGGACGGACGTCCCGATCACTATATACCCTCCCGCTTTTCAAGCGGAGGATATAATAATATGTTATACTGCTGATTTTTTCTGTCAGTACGATGACTTCCACCATCGAAAAACAATGTTTACCTAACCCTTTAAGGCTCGATAAATCTTTACTCCTTTACATTCTGAATCATCGCATTGACCTTAAGGTTTCGTCAAAGGTCAACATGTCCAATTTTTTTTTTACAATAGCCCTAAAACTATGTGAGGTATAAAGTTTTTCATTGATTACCAGATAGAAAGTATCACTTGATAAAAAAATAAACTTGGAAAAAATACTAATTAAGATAAACTCTTCTTAAAAATGCCATATATTTTCCAAAAATACACATAATTAATTTCGTGCTCTTGGTGAAAACTATCATTGCAGAAACAAATATGTTTATCAATGAAGGGCAAGTTGGACTTGGACAGCCTCTGGAAAGTTGTTTTCCCTGTTTAATTTGTCCAAATGTTAAGACTTGAAAGTGAAAGTACATTGCAAATGGCAGATTTTAAAGGGGTCTTGTCTTTATATATACATGTATCATGCTTTCAATAACAGCCTTTCAGAGACTATTCATGTCCAACTTGCCCTTCAATGATAAACATATCTTATTTCTGCAATGTTGGTTTTCACAAAAAGGACAGAATTAAGTAGATGCATTTTCTTTATATGTGCACATTTTCTGATACAAGTTTTCTAAAAAAAATATCTTTTAAAAATATTTGTTATCAAGTGATATTTTCTATCTATTAATCAATGATATATTTATAAACTGTAAAAGTTTTGACTTTTTACCACAAATAATTTTGAGGCTATGTAAAAATATTTTTTAGACATGTTGACCTTTGACGAATCATTTAAATATAGCTATAATCGTATGTTATGAGATCAACATATCATCAATTTATTCCAAATCAGCTCAGGTGAGCATTTTGGCCAATATGCTTCTTTATCTATTCTCCTTTTTTTGCACCTTAAAGATTTCAGCTTTAATCCACAGGGAGTCATTTTTCTACGGGGGTCATTTTTCTTCACGTGGGTCTTGCAAATTTTTAGGCTGGTATCACTTTTTCTACGGACAATAGAGTCTTTTTTGTACGTCCAATAATGACCAGGGGTCATTTTTCGCTGTCGAAAAATGACCCCCGGTCATTATTCGATGGAGGTCATTATTCTTCTTACACCGGCAGAATTATCAAGAAATAAATTTCCCCAACTTTCAAACAGTTATCACAGAGAAAAAATTAGAAATGGAAATATTTTTGGATCATCCCTCGTACTAGTATTTATTAGAACTATCTTGAAAAGAGATCAATAACTAAGTTGAAGTTATAATTTGAATCCGTCAGAGCCAGTTTTGAAATTCTAGATGTTGTATATTCTTCACTATATTATATAATGTTTTTCAATTTTAGACATTTTATTGTCTATATCAGTATTTTTAACTTTAGATTTTAGAAAAAAGCACGCTTAAAAAATAAACAGCAGTTAAAGAAATAAAAGCTACAAGTTTGGACTTAAGCGTACTTGACAATCTACACGTAAGTGGATATGTGTTGAAATTCGTCATTTTCAAAAATTGTAATTCTAATTTGTAGTTTACACTTACAAATAACCTTGCCAAACCTCTCTACATGTACATACGACTTACCATGTTATTATGACGACTAACTATGTCATACGTACGACTTAGTATCTCGTAATCGCGACTTAGCTGGTACAACTTAGTACTTTGTTATTACGACTTCGTGTCTTGTTCTTATTAACCACTTACTGTATTTTGTTTATATGACTTAATATTTTGTAACTCGAACAACAAGTCAAAAATATATTTTTTACTGGCAGCAATACGCTTCCGCAATATTCCAAGACTAATTTCAGAAGTAATAAACAACACACAATAAATTTTGCTGGAAAAGATCTTGGAAAAATGCCTTTATCAAAGCAAATGGACTTTTTTAGACACACCTGTGGACTGCAGAGACCTCTATGATAAAGGTGTCATAGTGTCTGATGTTTATATCATTTGTCCATGGAAAAGAGAGGAGACAAACTTACATTGTGTACAAGTCTACTGTGATATGGCTACAGATGGCGGGGGATGGACAGTAAGGATGACTGAGTCAATGATTAATCGTTGTTCAACGTCTTTTTCGAGATTTTGTTCCTTATTTTTCACTCACCAGATGTCGATGAAGGTCTTTAAATTCAACCCTGTACTCAGCACTTCGGCCATTGAAGTGTTATGTTTTGAGAATGCAAACATACAGGTTACAGGTTCAGTGAAGTTTGAACAGAGGATTGTTACCAATACATGTTGTAATGAAATTAATTATTATTTATAAAGCACATTTTACAACAACTCTTTAACTAACATAACTGCCCTAAGTGAAGAAATATTAATATAGAAAGCACAAAGAAATTCACTTTTACATGGATACCCACTTCCCACTAATGTCCAAATAACTGTATCTCACTTCTATTCTCAATGACCGTGTAGTGTAGGACAGCGCCGCGAGAATTCCATCGGCATCGAAAGCAAGTTTTTTGACTTGCCTAGATAGCCGAGCGGTCTAGCGCGCTGTTCCTGCACTGCTAGGAGACAGATTCCGAAGGTCGAGAGTTCAACTCCGGGTTGGGGCGGAAGTGGGTATCCATGTAAAAGTGAATTTCTTTGTGCTTTATATATATATATATATATATATATATATATATATATATATATTATATATATATATATATATATATATATATATATATATATATATATATATATATATATATATATATATATATATATATATATATATATATATATATATATATATATATATATATATATGTGTGTGTATGTATGTATATTTCCAACCCATGTTATACCAGTACAACTTGAGTAGCTATTAAATTCAAAGCCACAATTTTTCTATATAATGGATTTAAATTGAGCATTCTTCATACGTAAGGTCGAACGGAGTAATATATTTTGATGAAGGCTAGTTATGTACAATATGAACTAAATCTTTATGACTAAATCTTTTATCTAATTAAATGACGTGTTACAACGAAATTTGAATTATTCAAATAGTTCGATGATGTTTTATTAATTTCAATAGTTATCTAATTTTTTTTACCTTTTACATTTATAATCTCTCAATTTGAAGATCAATGTTTTACATTATAAAATATCTACGAAGGTTATACAAAGAAGACAGTCCGGTGATGTGAGCTTTGAACGAAATTGGGAAGAATATAAGATGGGCTTTGGAGATGTTTCTACAAGCTACTGGATTGGTAAAAAAATTAAATCAATAATAAATCAGACAGCTACCATAAACAAAAATAGCAATTTATGTTCAAAGAATATAAATACAATTTTGTATGTACAAAAACGTGGACAATATTACTCTTATCATTTGCCAATTTAAGTATCTTTAAACGTTGTACGATTTCAATCTCAATGAAAATTTCGTGTCTTAGAATTGTTGTAATTTAACATAAGCTATCCGGATGCAGAAAACAAAACAAAACAAATATTAAAAAAAAAAAAAAAAAAAAAAAAAAAGAAACCTGGCATCCGGATCTTTAATGCATTTAGTGGCTGATTTTTTATCCCAAAAAGACTCTCAGAGAAAAAAGTAAAAAAAAAGTTGTTTAAATCTAGTTTTATCGGTTGAGCGCAGTAAAAGTGTGCCTTTATTCTATGCGCTTCGTTTTTAACTCATTGAAGTATCTTAAAATGTCAGACATACGAGAAAACGAATGTAACACAAACAGATAGAAAACTAGGGTAAAATGCAGTACAAACTTTGTTGGCAGAGAAGTCTTTCCCAGAAGGATTTGATCTAATTATAGATGCAGAAAAAAATTATTTGGTCTTATTATAGATGAATAAAAATGCCTTTTTTTACAATTGATAAATATAGCACACATTTAAACTTTAAATTTGACGTGGTTGGATGCAAAGAATCGTCAAAGACAGTTTCTTTGAAATTTTGATTACGTTATTCGTACATTTTCACTTATTTTTCATCGTCAATATTATTCATTAAATAATAAAATTCATTGTTTGAAATTAACAACTTCTCGACTAAAATATTTTATTTTACAGGAAATGACATCATACACCAATTAACAAAAGAAAGAAGTAGTTCTCTTTATATGGAGATTACTCTATTTAACGAAACAGTCCTTTATATAAAATATGAATTTTTCTTCATCACCGATGAAGACTGATTATAGACTGAATATTAGTGGAAAAGCAAATGGAACTTTGGGTTTGTAATATATTTCTTCATCTGAAATACAACCACATTTATATGACAATTTTCAATGTGCATGGTTAATTTCATTTTCTTCTTTTCTTTGAACAACTTTTTTTATTTCGAAAGTTTCGGTTTATGTCACTTGAATAGGAAAACATATTTCGTCACCCGCCACAGTCCGATTCGATTGCCATAATCCCAGGCTGCAACGATTTATACTGCTGGACTCTATGTTAACTAAAATCATTGTGGGTTTATTTCACAAAAGAGTTGGAATTATATAAACAAAAAAGTTTCAAAATGGTTTATTAACAATTAGAAAAACCCACTTCAACTAAGAAAAAATGTCTTTTTCCTGTTGTTTATGAAGTGAGGCATTTTCCCACTCATATGACTCTTTACAATCCTAAATTTTTTAAACGTTCAAATTACCTTTTCATTTATTTTTAGGCATATGAATTCCGTAAGAGTGCATCAAAGTAATCATAAATGTTATTAAGACTAAGATGAGAATTACAAGAAATACATGTTTTTTAAAATCAGTACTCTGAACGTTCAGAATACGCCACCATTTTATCATAAAATGTTAGGTGAAGTCACAAAATGCTGAATAAGACACTACTCTATGTTGTCGTTGAAGAATGTATTATCAACGGTATGCAATTTTGATCTTTTTTAGATAAATGTGCATTGGTATATATTGGTAGAAAAATCTACATGTTTCAAATGCAACGTAGAGTAGTGTGTACAAGAAAAAAAGTAGTAGAAAAAAAAACAATACTAGAGTATTCCATATATTAATTTCACCTAACATTTTTGATTTTAATAAACAACGATTATTCAGAGAATATTATTATTCGTTCTAAATAGGCCATTACTGTTAAATTATGTAGTTAGGAATTGAATAAAAGACATTAAAGGCTGTATGACGACATCGTTTTCATTTCCGAACTTCCGTCGTTGAAAATTGAAAAAAAAAATCCAGATTATAATTTGTAACCTCCAAATTTCCAAGTTTCGCTATTTGTAAGAGGTTCAAATGTTAAAAAAAATCCTGTCATAGGTTTGTCTTACATTTTTCTACGTTTTCACATATCCAAGCTGACTTAAAATTAGTGGAATTATGGTTCTCCGGATTGAAATTGTACGGTAATTAATTATTTTGTGTTTGAAGTGTTATTTACTATCAAACCACCATGTCGTTACCCTCACTACCCTGTTTTTCCATCATGATAAATACATCAACATTGAAAACTGCTCATTAATATGATTGGTTTTTTTTAAAGTTATCTATCGAAAAAATTACTAATTATAAGCACACTTTGTAAATAGAGTGACGTGCTTCACCTACTTTTTATGGTGACAACACAGAATAAATGTATGTGTAATTTGCTTTATCAGTGATAATGATTTCTCAGACATGAATCGTGGTTTTCTTACTTTTTCCTGAGTGTATTGAAATAATTATTAAGCAAGCCTAAGAATTAAGAATATAAAATGATTTAACAACTAAACATTATCAATCTTCTTGTATGCATTATAAGAGCTTCTTATGAAAAAGTTATGTATTTTGATACGGTTAACCATCTTACGGCTAGCCGACTAGCAATTCTGTATTCGATTGCCATCCCTACTAAGTAATATTAAAATATTCCCATTTATTACTCGTTATGTCTTATACTGTTCTACTCCAAACAAATACTCTGTTGTATTTTCGTTTGAAATGAAACTTCTTTTGATATGAAGTGTCTCTATCAATGTCAATAGTTTCGATCATTTCACTTCCAGAAGACAGGGTAAGTAATGTTCCACCAGAAGACGTGATCAATGGGGCAAGATTTAGTACTTATGACAGGGATAACGACCAAGCCAACAGGTTTAGTTGTGCTGTTAAACACCAGGGAGGATGGTGGTACAATTATTGCCATGATGTGTACCTTAATGGCCCGTATGGCTCTGCTGAGTGGCCTCAACCTTGGTTTCCACTCTTATCTGATGGATCTAATATAACCAATACAAGAATGATGATCAGGAATGAAAAAAAGTCATAATATAAAGTTTGTCAGCGAGGATTCCCTCAAAAGCACTGTCTATGCATGCGATTTATTCTTAATTGATGTGAATCTTCCAGAATGTTAAAAAGTTCAATTTACCTCTGCTGTTGAGGCATATTTCTTTTCTGTGTTATACATTATTGTTTAAAAGGTTTTGCTTCAGACATTTCGTTGCACAAGTAAGTACTGGTGAGAGGTTATAGTTACGTACTAAGTAAACCATTTTCTGAAAAAAGAATAGAAAACAACTAGACTTCACTTATGATAAATTACGGGGAAACAACAGTCTGTGGTCTATAACAGCATGTTAAATTTTTTTTTAAACCTTCCCAATGGTCATGTCTCTTTTTGATTGTTGGCTTCAACATTTGTAATTGCATTTTCCCCGAAAACGCATTAAAAATGGATTCTATCATTCTTGTTCTATGCATTGTTCTTGTTCTTTGTTATCTCAAATTCTTTTCGTTCTGTATTAGCCCTGTATACATTATTGTGTTTGCTAATTTTTTCTGTATCTAAAACACAGCACGGTCTTAAAATAAATCTGATTCAATTTAGCAAAAGCACGTACAAATAGTAAATGCAGATGTTTTCCTATTATAAATTTTGGAGAAATACCCGGTATTTTCCTTAGAATGTAAAATGTCAAAATTCTCAATCACTTTTTAAAAACTTATTCCACAGAATCTACACGCAATTTTGATTCAAACTAAAAGGAAAATTTGCAATAACGGAAAAAATCCTCTACCGATAATTTTGATCCAAACGAAACGAAAAATTCGCAATAACGGAAAACATCCAATCTCCTCGTGCAAAATTCTTCAAGTCCATTTTTTCTGCGTTTTTATTATTTAAAATCCTTCTCGCCGACGACGGCGACACGTCTCTTTCTCTTTGTTTTTAATGTCGCAATTCAATTAGAAAATAGAATCCGTGACACTAACGTCCATCGAGGAATTTTTCTGTAAATCCTGTTTTTGTAAATTTAGTTAAACCAGGATTTTAAGACCCCTGAAATATGTTATGATCAATCTCCATCTACAATAGATCACAACAATAGCGGTTACATCCTCCACCTTATCCATAAAGACTGACTATCACTCGATTACGTCTACCCCGTTAAATTGTCATAACTAATCTGACTGAAATTTACGTTTTCCATTGAAATATTTATACTGCGGATGCGTATTCCCCATCGGGGCCTCAACTACGAAACTCTGGTGGAAGTTTGGATGCTGCAAAGTTATAATTCGGCGGGGCTATTTTTGATTGATCGTGTCACAAATCATTTAGAGAACTCGACAGGTTCTGTATCGTATATACAAATTTTGGGGTGGAGACGACTCGCGCTACGCACTCGTCCACCCCCAAAATTTGTATCCACGTTGAGACACGATAGCGATGTTTTTCTTTGAAGTTTACTGTTCTGTATTAGCAATACAGAACGGGACTGTGATGGGCGTAGCTAATTTCTGTTCTGTATTAGCCCTGTATACAGTACTGTATTTGCCAACTATTCTGTATCTTAATTACAGCACGGTATAAAAATAAATCTGATTCAATTTAGCAAAAGCATGTACAAATAGTAAATGCTTATGTTTTCCTATTATAAATTTTGGATGAAATACCCGGTATTTTCCTGAGAATGTAAAATATCAAAATTTCTCAATCACTTTTTAAAAACTTATTCCACACAGAATCTACGCGTAATTTTGATCCAAAGTAAAAGAAAAATTCGCGATAACGGAAAACATACTCCGTACGTAATTTCGATCCCAACGAAACGGAAAATTCGCAATAACGAAAAACATCCACTCTCCTCGTGCAAAATCATTCAGGTCCATTTTTTCCGCTTTTTTATTATTTAAAATCCTTCTCGCCGACGACGGCCACTCGTCTCTTTTACTTCGTTTTTAATGTCGCAATTCAATTTGAAATTAAAATTCCGTGACATCAAAGTCCATCGAAGAATTTTCTGGAAATCCTGTTTTTGTAAATCTAGTTAAACCGGGATTTTAATACCTCTGAAATAAATTATGATAGATCTCCATCTACAATAGTTCAGCTTTTATAGAAGCTTTAATTTTTCGATGTTCTGCAAATTATATAATCAGAGGTGTTCAAAGTAACACTGACAGAAGCTCTGGTGCGATTTTGCGAAACTACAGTGAGAAAAGGTAAATTCACGGAAATATGGCTAGGAAGTGACTTGCTCGTGGAAACATGGTAAACAAAAAAAAGTTAATGTAGCGTTTCAGATTCCATCACCCTATATTATCTGTAGAAATGTACTTTCTCATACATTCATACAAACTTTAACTATAGTCCTTTATAAAAATTATTTTTTGCAGTCATGGATTAAATTTCGTTATGAAAAACACACTTGCATTGGGATTAGGATTGTTGTTATTGGTGTCAAAATGGACAAGTATAATTTGCTTCAAACTATTAATACTTTCAAAACAGACATTTTTCTTTTATTTGCAGGAATGATCAACGTCTAATATACGAGGGTTTCCGGTAAAATTGTGGACAAAGCGTTTATTTCGAAAAATAATGGATGCACTTAGAAGAAATTTCAGTAAATATTTACGTGCATCATAAAATGTTGACAAAAATTAAACATAATAATGCTTGAAGATGCACAGGGTAGGGTCCTACGGCGCACGGTAAAAGAACCATGATTTTATCAGGGAACACACAAGTATTGATTCGAAATAAAGAATTTAAATACATAAGATTGTGATAAAAAGTATCCTAATTTGATTCTACAATCTATTTTGTCGAATTTCTAAAAAATTCAATGCATTTGGTTAATTTTTGGCAGTTTCCTGGGAAAATGGTTAACACAACCCACACAAAATGGCGACGTTTGATGACGTAACGGTGCACCGGAGAGCATTTCAGTGTGATTGAAATGCTGTTATGACACCTTAAGAGACTTAAATAAATACAGAAGAAAAAATAAAAAATAATACCAGATCATTAGTGTACAAATGAAATTTGAGTTTTCTTAGTTGCTTAACTTACTATTTAATCTTCAGAAGATCAAATATGTGTGTCAGATTAGTTACAAAACTGTTTATGGGGACTCAAATGTGCGCATCAGTGAAATTCCTAAATTTAAGTGGGACTTATCAAACTTTATTGTTGCATAGATGTAAAACTGTGACGCTGTTTTAGACACTTTGACGTTATCGTTATACTTTACATATGTTTCTCTCATGACAAAGCCTTCCCCTGGGAACTATTAATGTGACCCTTTGGCCATGAAGATTGACCCCCTTTTAGAAAACTTTGAGCTTGCCCATACCTTTTGATTGTTTGATTGGCTTTTATATTTCACAGGTATACTGTAAATGTATTACATTTGACGTGTACGATATTTTGTGGAAATTTTATTTTCAACAAGTTAGTTTAGATTTTTTTTTAGCGCTGTCTGAATTTGTAAGCTATAAAAGTTAATATACAAGACATTTAACGATGGACTTGAATTAGCAGACTCAGCTTTCCACCAAAATTGCTAAAACAGAAACCAGCCTCCTTATAGATATTGTTTCTTTACCCTCTCCCGACTCAGGATTAAAATGGACGGTAGGTAGGTGTGAAATTTTTTGCTTACAAAACTTCAACATCTCTTTTCCGAAATGCATTAAAAATTGTTTTTAATATGGAGGTTATAATGCCTCGGTCGGGAGAAGGCAAACAAATATATATATATATATATATATATATATATATATATATATATATATATATATATATATATATATATATATATATATATATATATATATATATATTAAAAAAGATGACTTTTGCATTTATTATAAAATATTGATATTAAATGATTTTAAGACAGTAGATCTATTTCTTCCTTCCATGGGGATTTTAACAAAAGGTTATTACTTTTCCTTCTGATCTATTGTTTAAATTTTTATAGGTTTACAAAGACAAGTGGACTGTATAAAGAAAGACTGGAAATGTTTGAATCGTAAGTCGTAAACACAGAAAAGTAAAAGGATCCAATGGTATCATAAATTTTTATATCATTATTTCAAGGTTTTTTTAATCTTCCAAAATATCAATATTCTACGGAAGCATATTGCAGCCAGTTGAACATATGTTTTACTATGTCTTACGTATAAGATAAATCGTTCATTATAAAACATGTTTTTAGTCATGATAATGTAATATATATATTAATTTTTTTATAATATATATATATAGTACAGAATACTATGTTTTCATTACGATATAAAATGTTAAATGTAAAAAACTAGATACAAAGTCCTACTTAGTCAGACGTACGACATAATAGAGGGTTTTGGCAAGCTTGTTCGTGTACATGTAAATTACAATCTAGAATTACATGTTTATATTATTTTTATTGTTTAGCAAATGATTTCCCGTAAGGTACTTGCAATTATTTTAAATCCAAAAGTGGTCACCATAGAATTTTCTTTCAAAAATCTGAATTTTAATATGTATATCCTAATTTATATAAATATATGCATATATATGCATATACGAGGGTTGATCCAAAAGTAATGTCACTGTGTCCATATCTTTAATATTTGGCGTCATATTATCAAATATAATATACCAAAAGATGCACAAAAACAAACATATACGTGGACGAGTAGCAAATTTATCGAAGTTGTGACATTACTTTTGGATCATCCCTCGTACTAGTATTTAAGCTTGAAAATAGCTCAATAACTAAGTTGAAGTTATCATTTGAATCCGTCAAAGCCAGTTTTGAAATTCTAGATGTTGTATATTCTTCACTATATTATATAATGTTTTTCAACTGTAGACATTTTATTGTCTATATCAGTATTTGTAACCTTAGGTTTTAGAAAAAAAGCACGCTTAAAAAATTAACAGCAGTTAAAGAAATAAAAGCTACAAGATTGGACTTACGCGTACTTGGCAATCTACACGTAAGTGGATACGTGTTGAAATTCGTCATTTACAAAAATTGTAATTCTAACTTGTAGTTTACACTTACAAGTAACCTTGCCAAACCTCTCTACATCGTACATACGACTTACCATGTCATTATGACGACTAATTATGTCGTACGTACGACTTAGTATCTCGTAATCGCCACTTAGCTGGTACAACTTAGTAACTCTTGTTCTTATTAACCACTCATTGTTTGTTTTTTATAAGACTTAATATTTTGTAACTCGAACGAGAAGTCAAAAATATATTTTTAACTGGCAGCAATACGCTTTCGCAATATCCTAAGACTAATTCCAGATGTAATAAACAACACACAATAAATTCGTTGGAAAAGATCTTGGAAAAATGCCTTTACCAAAGTAACTGGACTTTTTAGCTCACCTGAGCTGAAAGCTCCAGTGAGCTTTTCTGATCACCCGTTGTCCGTTGTCCGTCCGTCCGTCCGTCTGTCCG